AAGGAAATCATCTTCTATCTACAAACACTACCACCTCCAGCACAATAGTGAAATGCCTGAACGCTTGATCGAGCAATTCAACGTCATCACGAAATGTAACGGCAAATTTGATTGCCTTGTTAATGAAATGTTGTATATTCGCATGCGTAAGCCAACACTGAACGTGCAAACGGATTCCATCCGCGCCAAGGTGTTTGTTTAAGCCGTTCAGTCTAATTTATGCTATTCTTGTACCTTTCCTTATTTGCATGTTTTTAAACTAGTCTCTTGATAATGGAGTCACGATGACCCCGAAACGTCGAGTAATAAATCTTTCCTGGTTTTTTCTATGCCTTTGCTTTAGCAAATCCCTGCTGATCAAGTACTTAAATATTTAGACAAATAAACTGTAGATAATTATGAAACCTCATTACGAAACCAAATTATTACCATCATTATTAATATTTTTATTATTACTATCACTTATTTTAAGTTAATCTCTATTACAATTGTTTTCCTTTTCTGGTATACATATATTTGTATTTTTAAATTTCTAAGACTTTTCTGATACAGACCAATGCCGTCATTTGAAGTTTGCGCCTGAAAAAGCACTTGATAGCAGACGTCTCATAAACCATGTGATCCGCACCGCTGAAGTCACGATAATGGAGTTTTGTGAGAACATGTGTTATATGGAACCCAACTGCGTCAGCATTAATCTTGATAAACGAGTTGGTAGAAACGGAAGGTACAAGTGTGAATTGAATAATGTTACTCACGAAGGACACGAACACGAACTGGAGAAGAAAGGCCATTATTTTTATCGTGCAGCTGAGGTAGGAGTTGGATCATTTGCAAATAGTTAATTTCAGGGATAAATAACTACTTCCCAATCATAAGCGTTGGAATGATAGCTATAATTCTAAGATCACTGTAAATATATTTATCTCTAGCATTATCAGTATGCCCCTCGTTTTCTATCTTATTTAGAGCAAACAACTGAAAATATCTCAGAGTACGATATAAGATTGTAAATATTTTTTCTCCTTTCGGCTTCAGAGCGCTTGTGTTGATAATCCTTGCGATAACAATGCTACTTGTCAAAGCGGTTTTACAGACAAAGGATATTGCTGTTTGTGTACTACTGGATTCAAAGGTCCGAACTGCAGTAAAGGTAAACCTTTAAATGTGATTATTTAAAAATTTTACAAACCGACTGTGTGCTCATGTGGGCTCAAAGTTTTATACACACCTTCTAAAATATACCTGTAAATGTTTAGGTCCGGCATGTCATAAAATCGCACAATAACCAGCTCTCAACTGGCTTGGTGGCCCTCTCAGTTAGAGAGCCGCTTGAAAATTATAAGACTATCCTGTCGGATCACACTTATCATTTTTTTAGATATCGACGAGTGTGCTGTAGGAACACAAAACTGCAATGAAAATGCTGTTTGCAACAATACCAAAGGTTCCTACAACTGCTCATGTAAACCTGGATATTCTGGAGATGGACGGACTTGCAAAGGTAAACGAGACCAAAACACTAGTTTCTTTGAAGAACAAAGTGATGGAAAGTAAAAAAAAAAATTATCAAATTAGTAATGAGCTAAGGGGTTTTCCTTACTAAATCGGTTGTGCTAACGGAACATCCAACTGCAGTGCTAATGGTGTGTGCAACAATACCAAGGGATCGTATCGCTGCAATTGCAAACCAGGATTTACTGGAGATGGACGGACTTGCAAAGGTCAAACAGAACCTTGTTTCAGAGTCTAATGTTAACCAATTAAATATTGATATATGTAAATATATTTTGTTGCTATAGTCATTATCAAGCAAAGGTACGGACAACTTTCAGAGGTTCATAGATAAATTCTAAAAGCACCCGAAAAAGTTTAGGCCCAGTGCATTATAATCTCGCACATTAAATGGTTCTCAATTGGCTTGATGGCCCTCTTACATGGTAAAGAGAGCTGCTGCAAAATTGCAAGACTCTCGTGACATCCGATCCTACTCAGGTCTCACTTTGTTCACATTGATTAACTGGAGGGATGACGTTCTAATTAATGAAGGTTTTTTTTTCAGATATCGACGAGGGTGCTTCAGGAACACAAAACTGCAGTGCTGATGCTATGTGCAACGATACCAAGGGATGGTACAACTGTACCTGCAAACCTGGATACTATGGAGATGGAAATAACTGCCGTTCGGGTAATATTTTTCTTGCGGTATTTCTTACAATAGTTTCTCGTTATATATACATACATATATAAATGCGAGGGTAGAATCTACCTTGGCATAAAGTGCTCAATGCTGTGTTAGTAGAGCTGCGTATACATTAGTTAAAGAATCAAAGAGGACGCATCGGTTCTGTTACTCTGAGTTTCGCGCCGTTTGTATGACGAGCGCTTCGGCGCGAAACTTAGAGTAACAGAGAACCGATGCGTCCTCTTTGATTCTTTAACTAACGTATACATACGTGTATATATATATNCATTAGCACTGCACTGATGAGGCCCAGAAGGCCGAAACAGTACTGTCTGCAGTTAGATATAGCTCTTTGGCATACAAAGCTTTGCTTTCATGTCCAAATTGAGCACTCTATCTAGGATGAGTCATTGCCGTTGCAATTGCGCATGCTCGCTGGTTTACTCTAGTTTGAGCACTCTGGCATGGCTTAGACGATACCACAAAGGTTGGGTCGTTTGGGGTGACCGTCTCGGTTCTCCCCCATCCTAGCATTAGCACTGCACTGATGAGGCCCAGAAGGCCGAAACAGTACTGTCTGCAGTTAGATATAGCTCTTTGGCATACAAAGCTTTGCTTTCATGTCCAAATTGAGCACTCTAACTAGGATGAGTCATTGCTCTGCAATTGCGCATGCTCGCTAGTGTACTCTAGTTTGAGCACTCTGGCATGGCTTAGACGATACCACAAAGGTTGGGTCGTTTGGGGTGACCGTCTCGGTTCTCCCCCATCCTAGCATTAGCACTGCACTGATGAGGCCCAGAAGGCCGAAACAGTACTGTCTGCAGTTAGATATAGCTCTTTGGCATACAAAGCTTTGCTTTCATGTCCAAATTGAGCACTCTATCTAGGATGAGTCATTGCCGTTGCAATTGCGCATGCTCGCTGGTTTACTCTAGTTTGAGCACTCTGGCATGGCTTAGACGATACCACAAAGGTTGGGTCGTTTGGGGTGACCGTCTCGGTTCTCCCCCATCCTAGCATTAGCACTGCACTGATGAGGCCCAGAAGGCCGAAACAGTACTGTCTGCAGTTAGTTATATATATATATATATATATATATATATATATATATTTATTAAAAACTAGATCATTGGATAATGCAATTCAAGACTTTTTATTGGCTTAGCCATTATGGTATATGAGCCAATATACCATAATCTACAAATATGGTAAGCGTACGTGTAAGCTTAAAATTAAAAGAGAGCTAAAAATTTAATAAAATTTAATAATTTAATGCAGCGTTTTTAATAAAACAATTATTCCACTCGCGTTTGTTGGACATGAGATGATTATAGCCAACTCGGCTATAATCATCTCATGATTATAGCCGAATTATATATTTTCAATTCTACAGGTAAATTTTCCCCTTGAGAGTATTATAAACCTGGGTTTATTGCCGTTGTTTTGTCTTTTCCCTCTTTCAGCTTCGACGTGTAAGGAAATTTTCGATTGGAATGTGTAAGTCGATAACTATTTGACAAAAACAGAGCCGAAATGAAGTATTGTGAGAAAATGTGAAAATAACATTAGCTATAATAATAAATCTGAAAAGCATTGCAACCTTGATAATAATCTTCCACACCAGCTCCTGTCTTGAAAGGAATCGCCTAATCGCAAGGTACTTTGTGTCAATTACTGAATATGTAGAAGCCATGGCACTCATCAGATTTCAACTGAATCTCTCCTTTTAAGAAAATGGTTTTTTTAAGTAGATCAGAAAAGAGTGGTGTGGTTGCCCTGATCCTAGACTCAAAGCCAATTTCTGTCTTCTGTCACATGGGAGACTTTGGATGCGGAGATGGAGGATGGACACCGGTCATGAAAATTAATGGCAGTAAGGTGAAAAGTTATATGTTACGAAATAAACTGTAGATGCAGGTCGGTGGAGAGAAGCGACAAAGGGGATGGGCAAGTCTATGGCTGTTTCCTGGAAAAAGTCAAAGGGTGTTATTAGCTTTTCTTCACTGACTGGGGGTCTAGAGCACACTGTTACTGATTTTCTATCGAAAATAAAGTGAATATTTTAATCTTTGTTGTGCATTTTAGATGACATTCCATTATGATTCCAAGTTTTGGAGCGACAGAAATGCTCACAACCTTCCAGGGGGCAAGACTGGCTTTGACTTTTTAGAAACCAAGTTACCGACCTACTGGAACACATCCTTTTCCAAGATCTGTCTCGGTATGAAGATCAACCAACAGACCAACTTCATTGTATTCAACAAGCAGGCTAACTCTCTCCACTCACTGATAGCTTCTGGAATATACCACGCCACCTCACTAGGTCGTAACATGTGGAAGGTGTTAATTGATTCAGAGGCCTCTTTGCAGCAAAACTGCAACAAAGAAGGGTTCAATGCAGAGGGAAACCATCTTTTTTCCTCCAAAGCAAGAATCGGCATCATTGCTAATCAGCAGAATAGCTGTTATTCTTGTAATTCCAGAATTGGCTTTGGTACAGGAGGATACTACGATGACAACAACACCTGTGGAAATGATGCAACACACAAGGCTGATAATGGGAACAAACGCATCAAAGCCATGGGGTACATCTTGGTGCAGTGACAAGGGAAAATTCCGACTTTCAAATATTTAAACCGAGAAGCCACCATAGAACAGAAAAATGTAGTATCCTGAGACATACAAACAAAAACAAAGGAACTCATTCCTTTCTCTTTTTAGAATTCTTTCTAGTGTAATTTTTTTAAATCTAATCTACAGCGTTCCATTTGTGCGAAGCCAGTAAAATGTTTTGAAATCGAAGTAGAAATAAACGAGGAACCCATATTCGATGCTCATGATATTATTCTCATCATACATAAGACTTACAATAAAACATCTCATTGGTCGAGAGCATTCAGTCAATATACAGTCACATGTGAACTTGACATCATAACCCAATATCTGCGGCAGATATTGGGTGATCATGTCAAGTTCAAAGTCTACCTAGTTTCCAGGCCCCTCGTCGGTGTAGTTCTGTCAATCGTTTGCGAAAATGGCTAAGTGCTTCGCCTCTGTTTCCATGAAGGAATGGAAAATTTTTATTGAGAACAAAGATTTAAAAACATAACAGGAGCAAAAATTCTTAATGATTATTTGCGGGAGAAGAACTTGAAGGAATCACAAGATAAAAGCGCTTTGGCCAGCGTTTTGAAGAAGTATACGCCGGCGCTAAAAGAAGTGATAGCAACTCGTACTCGAAAAGTTCCAGGACTTCTTTACGATTTGGACTCAACAGGTGTTTCAAAGCAAAAGGATGTGACGTTATCAAAGACCTAGAATTCGCCGAGGCGAACAAAGGATTTATGGCGAAGTGCGAAATAAAAGACTTTTAACATCACATAGCAAAAGGCGTTCGATGCGTGTGCAAATCAGATAATTATCTTCTTTTGCAACTTTTTTTGTAAAATGTTAATAGAACCTCGTGTCTGTGTTATCTGCCTCAGCAGAAGCAGGAGTGTGAATACAAAGAGCGACAGGTATTACAAAGTGCGACAAGTTCATAACAAGCTGTCGTAAAATATGCCAGGTCGTCCAGTTTTCATGAAAATTGTCATAAAGAAGTCGATTTTAAGCCCGATAAGGGCAATATCTCTTTTTACATATTCTTCAAATTAAAGGCTAGTTTGCCATAAGAAACATTTATTTCCGTTTATTTTCTCGTTAATCTTCAGAAGGCGCTTTCCAGACTTGAAACTGCTGCAATAAAGTACTTTGAATAATTTTTCTGCACCTATCAAATATACTTAGCTTGTTGGCAAATTGTCTAAGGATATCATATTGAATCAGAGAACAATAAGCCAAACTATATGACTAGTGTTTAATTTGGTGCTTTTGATTAGCAATGTACTCGGCTGTAGAACAAGACATGCTGCAAGAGAGCTCGTCTGCCTCACAGACAGGCTGTTTGTATTTCATGTAATAGTTCTGCCAGAGTGGGTAGTTCAACCTCTCCCTCAGTGGCTTAGCAAATAAAAGTTGGTATCATGACCTTAAAGAGAAGTGAAATTTAAAACGTGCACCCTTGATAGGCAGCCACACTAACTGGTTTGGCGTGTCATTCATGATCAATTTTGGGATCTTGGCCATTCAGTCCTTTCTACTAAAATTAGAGCCCACGCCCTGGCTGAGTAAAAGTAGTACTTCTTATTTTGAACTTCTTCTATCTAACTTGGATATCTTTGCGATAAAAAAGGGAATTTTTAATGATATTAGGCCGGAGAGCTTACAATCTTATCATTTAATGAAAGAAACTATTGCTTAAAAGGATGTCTTAAATGAAAAAAATAAATAGAAATGCTAAAAAATTACGTTGACGTCTCAATACTCAGAACAGGCGACAACAACAGGAAAATGAATGATTGTGGACAAAATGGGTTCTCGCTTTGCACTCCACCAAAGCAGGCCATAATCTGAATTTGCGTCTTCGTCTCACTCTGTTTTGATATACTGACGCTTTTTTTGAGTCATACCAAAGAGGACCTTGATATCCAAATGCAGCTTATTTCTGAGGCATGATAAAGTATCTTTATTACATCGCTCGCAGCGCCCGTGGGCAAGATGAAGCGAATCCTGTGCTCTGATTAGCTACCCGAGCGGGCCCCATCTTGCCCGCCCGGGATTCCCCACATTGATCCTACGCATGAAAACAATTGAATTAGAACTACGTTAGTAATTCCTGGACAATTTCGGCGATGGAAACGCAAAAAGTGGAAGAAGATAGTAAAAACAAAGAAAACAGGAACGACTCTCGTGAGTTTGTTGTACTACAAATTCAGTTGGCTTTCTTTCTCGGCTCTCGACTTCGTCTCGGTCCATAAAAAGGCGAAAAAAGAACTCGGCCAATGTCCAGCCACCTTGACCTCATACTTGGTTAATATCGCATATGTAAACGCTAGTGTCTGTTGTACGAGCTTGTTGCGGTTTGAAAAATAAGTTGCTGCCTTGGTCTTTGTCGGTCACAATAATTGCAGTTGGAGACGATTCTCCATGAAAGTTTAGGAACACCACGCATTTCTAATTCTCTGTTTCTGAATAAGTGCAATCTAGTCCTGGATGTTTTTATTTTTGCCAGCGACCTATTTTTCAAAAATGCGCTCACTCTTAACCAATATAAGCAGTCATTATAGAACCCGATGATATACCAGTAACTTCATCAAAGATATCCAGGCGAAGTCTACTCTCCCAAGACAAGTTCTATCATCTCAATGTACCTAAACTTGAAGAAATCATAGTATACGACGACTTTGAATGCACCTTTAGATGCCTTCACTTCCCTCTGTGTGTCTCCGTGACTGAACCTGGCCGCCGAAGGACGACTGTGGTGTGAGTTACTGTTAACTGATAAGTACAGCAATCCTAACGAATTCAAAGAAAACAAGAACTCGCATCACTATTACTTCGAGGGAAGAAGCTTATTTTTATTTTTTATTTTTTGATTCTGTATTACTATTATCTATTACTATTATCACTACTGTTTTTTTGTTTTTTATCGATTGCTCTAAATTAGATATTAAAGACTTAAATTTAGAAAACAAAATTGATCACCCAACATGCAACACTTCAACGCATGGTGTTAAGATTAATATTTGATTTCCTTTTGGCTTCAGAGCGCTTGTATTGATAACCCTTGCGACAACAATACTAGTTGCCAAAGCGGTTTTGCCGACAAAGGATATCGCTGTTTGTGTACCAATGTATTTGAAGGTCCCAAATGTGAGAAAGGTAAACCTTTTCATGTCAAACCATATGTAGGCTCTTGTAAGCTCCAGTTTCATACACAACTTGTAAAAGTACTGATAAAAGTAGGTCCAGTAAATTATAAACTTCTTTCATAACAAGCTCTTTGTACCCAGTCAGCTGGATCATTTCGTACCCTTACTGCTAAAATGTGATTTCCAAATTGAGTATGTTAGAAAAAAAACAATTTACTACCGGTAGGAAAAGAAATCCTACTAAGGTAGGAAAAAAAATCACTCTCACACAAGCTATTATTGTTAAAAAAGTCACAAGTATAAACAACACACTTTTCTATTAAGAAAATATCGCACTTACCTTAACCCAGACAAGTAAGTTAGTTGTTTTTGCTAAGGTCACAAATATGCACAATTGCAACAGAATTTGCTTGTATCATACTCGCTTCACTCTGATCACATCTGGTCAAGCATTCGTGCTTGAGCTATTTCGTGTGAATGTCTATTGAGAAAGGAGTAAATCGACCAGCAGTTTGGGTACGGACCGACTCAAACTGGGTACGGATCAACTGCATTTGGGTACGAAATAATTGTGGGTACGTAACGACTGGTTACCGTTTTCCCTACTAAATCGGTTGCTTTGAAATTTGTAGATGTAAACGAGTGTGCTAACGGAACATCCTACTGCAGTGAAAACGCAGCGTGCAACAATTTCAAGGGATCTTACAGTGTCGTAGATGCAAACCAGGATACTATGCAGATGGAAAGAGCTGTCGTTCAGGTAACATTTTTCCTGCTGTATCTCAGTTACAGTAGTTTCTTGTAATGTTTCTGGTTTGACAACAGTTATCAACCTTTCGCTTATGTTCATCAGTGAGGTGGAAAAAGAAAAAGGGAAAAAGTATGTTAAATGCCTTTTTAAAATGCCTTGTTAGCAACTACTGCGAAATCAAACTTAAAATAGGCTATTTGCTGGGAGGGCGTGTAATAGCTAGCCCGTGTAGATACGGTGTGCATTTAAAACGTTAAGCGGCGTGAGAACCAACAGCAACGCCGCGAGTGGTTTGGGATGCCGCTCGTCGTATTCAGGGCTCCGCTACTTTTATTTTTATCGAGCGCATTAACCACCGTCGCCACTTCTGGCTCTTAACTGAAGATCGACCCATGGAGGATTTCATAGCTATCGTAAATGAAGGAAGTTGATAACTTGCGTACTAAAGAATGATTCTAACCTGCTACTTCTTTCCAATTTGCAACTAATTACACTTTTGAACTTTCATTAGAACCTTATATACTTTCTATTCTACTGGTAAGTAGTCATCAATCAGAGCATTTCAAAACACATACGCCGAAGGGTTTGTTGCTGTTGATACATCTTTTTTTTTTGTTTTAGCTTCGACGTGTAAGGAAATCTTCGACTGGAATGTGTAAGTTAATAATTTATTAACAAAAGCAGAACCGAAGCAAAATATAGTGAGAAAAATGAAAATAACAGTACTGTGCTGATGTAATTAGTTACTGTAGTCAGTCATTTAGTCAGTCACTGAGTCAGTCAGCTCAGTATGATTTAGTTATTCGTTTTTATCAAGGATATATTTACTATATGAATTGAAGATGTTTAGGTTTGAGCTCTAATGAGCAGTTTGCCAATTGCGACTGTGTCGTCTAGCCTCTAAGTAGACGCGTTTAGCTTGTCGACTGACTTTGTGTTGGGCCCACCCGAAAGTTTCTGTTTTAGCTCACCGAGTCAGAGATTGATGTAGTTGATCGGAAGCATTAAGTACGTTGTTGTACATTTGTCCCAAATTCAGTCAGCTAGCATGCCCACCCATGTTTATCAATAATGAATATGTAAGCGTGTACTTTAGAGCTTACTCAATTAAAGAGAATGTAGACAGAGAAGATTAAAATGTGGGATTAACTAGACTTACAAAGTATCAAGTAAAATCAGAAGTAAGTCGAATTGTATGCGGGAGAGCCGAGCAATAAGATAAAGCAGAAAAAGACAGTTCGAGATCCTTGGATACCCCTCGCATAGCGTGGTGCAGTCCTTAGCTAAATTCCCCCGACATTTAATGGCGTAACAATACGCAGTAAT